TCCAGCGCCCCCACGCCGCCCCTTTTCGATCTACCGCCCCCCTGAAAAATGAAATCGCCCCCTGGGGGGCATTATCGCCCACGTTAAGAACCACTGGCCATGATTACCACTGATAGGCACAATCAAGTCAATGGAGGATTAACCTGACAGAAGAAGTATAGAGCCTCATATAATACAGTGCTGCTTTTCCATACTTTAGATTTAGTATTAAAGCACCAGGCAGAAAGTTGCTTCACAGAAATATTCTAATTCTGGAATTGGAGAGGCAAAGAATGATTGCTCATGTTATAGAATGTCATCAATGTATAGCCTGCATAATTAGCTTGTAAACTGCCCAGAGAGTGCTTGAAGCACTATGTGTGTGTGTTTAGTCGTTTAGTCGTGTCCGACTCTTCGTGACCCCATGGACCAGAGCACGCCAGGCCCTCCTGTCTTCTACTGCCTCCCGGAGTTTGGTCAAATTCATGTTGGTTGCTTCGCAGACACTGTCCAGCCATCTCATCCTCGGTCGTGAAGCACTATGGGGTGGTATCCTTGAAGCACTATGGGGTGGTATATAAGCAGCACCCTTTTTGCTTTGTAATACGTATTAAACTTCAGTTTATTGTAAGCATTACTCCTTACCTGCAATTCTCTTCCTGAGTCTGTAAGGTGTTTTTGACACAAATTCACTCTTTTTACACTATTGAAAAGAGTAAAAATATTAATCATATTTTGAAACAAAGTCTGTTCTGGGTAAATACTCTAAATTATCTAGCTACACATAAACTCAGATATTAAATTTAGTTTTCAGAAATCTAATAGTGGAATCTCTTGTTATTAGATCTGCAGATCAAGTAAAGCCAGCAGGTTGTACTTATTCTGAAACATATCTTTAGGCAATGTGATGCCTAAAGGAACATGGTTGAAGATGGTAATAAAAGCTTCAAACACACTGACAAATATAAATTAATTCAAATTAATTAATACATTTTATAAAATAAAATAGGCCTAAAGCGCACAATCCTAGACCACCCCACCTTAGTATACATGTCAGGTTTCACAGGTTTGAAAAAATGTCAGCCATAAGCATATGCTATTATTGTACAATGATGGACATACAGTGGTGCCTCGCTTAACGATGTTAATTGGTTCAAAAAAACCCAGCCTATGGGAAAACATCGCTAAGCGAAACACCATTTCCTATAGGAATGCATTGAAAACCAGTTAATCCGTTCCAATGGGAATGGATTGCTGCCTTTAAGCGAAAATCCCCATAGGAAACATCGCTAAGCGATACAATGTTTCCCCCATTGGAATGCATTGAAACCTTTTCAGTGCATTCCAATGGTTTTGCGATGTCTGTTTTTGCAATTTTAAGTGTGTCTTAAAAGGTTCAAAAATGGTTTTAAATGCTTGGGATCGTTAGTGCACCTTCTAAAACCTCTGCAAAGTTAATTTGACTTTGATTTGACTCTGTTAATTTTGGGTGAATTTTTTTCTCCCCCATGGGGAATTCCCCAAAAATTAACGAAGACTCAGAACAAAGCCAAATTAAGTCTGCACAGGTTTTAGAAGGTGCACTAACGATCCCAAGCATTTAAACCCATTTTTGAACCTTTTAAGACACTTTAAAAATAGCGAAAACGGACCTGTCAAAAGCTATTTTTAAAGTGTCTTAAAATGTTTGAAACCTGTTTTAAATGCTTGGGATTGTTAGTGCACCTTCTAAAACCTGTGCAAACTTAATTTGGCTTTGTTCTGAGTCTTTGTTATTTTTGGGTGAATTCCCCCCCCCATTGGAAAGCATTGAACTGTCGGTTTGACAGCTGTCAAACCTGCAGTTCAATGATTTCCAATGGGGGAGAAAAAAATTCACCAAAAATTAACAGAGTCAGATCAAAGCCAAATTAAGTTTGCAAAGGTTTTAGAAGGTGCACTAACGATCCCAAACATTTAAAACTGTTTTTGAACCTTTTAAGACACTTTAAAAATAGTGAAAATGGAACATCGCTAAGCGAAACAGGGGACCTAAAACTGTCTTCGCTAAGCGAGGCAAGGTCCCGAACATCGCTATGCGAATTTTCCCCATAGGGAACATCGCTAAACGGAGCACAAAAACACTCCAAAAACCTTATCGCTAAGCAAATACATCGTTAAATGAGGCAATCGCTAAGCGAGGCACCACTGTAGTCTTTTTCCTTAATGCAGATGACTGGAAAACACAGGGGATTCTAAATATAAAGAACTATGATCTTGTCTCTTTCTGAAATACAACAATGGTCACTTGTGTTAAGAAGAATTGCCACTTACCTCTGCTTCACCTTTACCTGAAGTAGAATATTCTGAAAATTGAACAAAACTGGGTCACAAATAACCAGCACCTAAAAGCAACAGCCCCTCCCAATCTCCCCAACTAATATATTTAAGCTTATTGCATGGCACAAAGAAAATTTCAGATAACCTGAATTTAGGACAACTTATTCATGTTCCTAGATGGGTGACAAATTCATCATGTTGCCCTCCCCAATAATAAACTGGAACAAAAATACACAGATTTTTTCAAGACATTGTTAGGTATATGAAGCTGTGCTGGAATTGATTGTCATTGTTGTCACACTAATCTTTCTCAAACAAGCCCTCATTATCTCTTAACTGATCTGCCCATCTCATATTTACATCCTCAAGTCTACACAGGGACTTGAGCAAATCTATAGATCCAGAGAATAACTTTCCTGGAATGTCTGGCAAGCAATTCCTTAATCTGAGCCACTGAAACAGCATTTGTTCAACAACTGGTTTGCTAAATTGTTTTAACAGAACTTACTTTTGCTATTTTTTGAAACACCCACTCCTGCATCAAGACTCTTCGACTTGTCATGTATCACATTCCTTCCTGCCTGATGAGCTAGCTCAGAGGCTGTGAAACAAAGAGAGATGGCAGGTTAAAGAAGCTGGCACCTAACAAACTAGTAAGATATAAATCGATGGTTCCCAACCTTTTTCAAGTCGTAGCCCCCTTTTATAATAGCCAAGCAACTGTGACGACCCCTCCCAACACCTTTGCATAAAAAGGCATTTTAGTCATCCCATCCCAGAAAGCAGAGGCTTCCTTCTTCCCAAAAGACCTGTTTCTCAGACATACCTGTGCATGCTAACTTTAATATCCTGCTCCAAAAGGCCAAGGAAGGGATTATTTAACAAGGACTACAACACATATAAGGCAACTCACAAACCCCAAGAAAACACTTTGGAACCCCCATGGGGGTCAGGACTACCAGGTTGGGAAACACTGATATTAATGACAAGCTGGCTATTTTAACACATATAGTTAAACTATCCTTGTACGGGCAAAATGTAGCCTCCAAAATTGTTCTTGGAGTGCTCCTCCGTCAAGGAAAAAAATGCTTAGCCCAGGGGTGGAGAAACAAGGTGTCTTGACAATGGCAGGGACAGGGTGTAGTCCTTTTCCTCTCCATACAGTCACATCATTTTGTACCCTGGTCAATCCCCAGTGGTTTAAACTCTCAAAATAAAGGGCTCCTTAAGGACACCAACGGTCAAAGTACACCAAGCAGAGTTTTGACATTTAAATTGTAAAATCTACCTTGTTCCAACACAATTCTTTTTTTCCAAAAAATCAAGTGAGTTTTAGAAACATTTTGCTACACAAAAATGAAGACTGCCACTCTGAAGTAGATGTTATAACTCACACCAGCCCACCAGGTTAATCATGTGGTTTTCAGGACTGCAGTTTAATCTTATAACCCAAGATTTTGTGACTCTATGGTGTCAATGGACTCTGGATGTACAGTATCAAAGAGGATTTCTTTTTAACGCCCTTATTGGTGCTGTGATGGAGAAATTGGAAATAAAATTCAGCATTACTTTCCTCTCTCTCTATTAAAATCTCCATGATAATAATCAGGATTTGAGAGGCAGAGGGTAAAGATAGCTTGCACATTCTACATGTGAGTTGTTACTTGTTAGAAGGGCATGAAAATAGTACTCTGATAACTTTCCTGGATCAAGAGAAAATAAAATGTAGTTCACGGACAGAGAACAAAAGTCATGATGCATCAAGCAAGAAAATGCAAAGTCAGCTGTGAATTAATCAGGAGCCTGATACAGTAAGAGAAATTAAGGAAATTAGTAAGTTATTTGTACACACACACACACACACACACACACACACCCCTCTCTCTCTCTCTCTCTCCCATGAGAATGCTTAATTCTGATTTGCATACTTACGGTTCTTTGTCTGAATGGCTATAAAATGCGGTGTATGAGAACTGGATGGTACCAGTTCTCCCAGAATTGAGCCGATCTCAATGCACTTATTTTTTTAATTAAAAAATCCCACCCAGCCCCTGCCAAAGACCTCTGATCTAACAACTCCCCTAAATAGTTGCAAATTATATAAATCCCAATCATTCTATGTTGAGGAGCACAAAGACTAGAGCAGAGAAGAGTAATACCCATTTCTGCCATCTTGTTGGAACGTTTTGGAGTTTGAAACGAGAAGACATCCCCACCACCTGCTGCAGTGCCATTCTTCAAAGATCCTAAAAAACACATACCAACTTCAGAAGCAAAATTTTAAGGGGCAGGGTTTACAATAATTCAGTGCTAGGGAGCAAACAGCTTATATTGTATTAAATTTTAAACACTATTCAAATTTTAAAATGAAAATGAGCGAGTCACCCTTAGAATCATTCTTAACGAGAATTATTTCACAGCAAGCTGCTATGTTATTATGCCTGTGACACTACATGTTCCCAAAATGTTACATTTCCCTCCGTAATACCTTGGACATCTATCCCTAGGACAGACACATAATTCTGTTCTTCCAAAATATCTTGGGCCTCATCATCATTGCTGTCTTCTGTTTTCTTCATCCATCTTTTAACATCAAGTGTATGCGGAGTTTTGTTTTTCCGTGTTTTTTGACCTGAAAGCACAGCAATAAGGCTTCAAGCTTTGAATATTAAAAAACAGTACACCATCCTCCTGTAGCTGCTGCAATGTGTCTTTTTTTCTCACCTGCATATGTACTTGCAGCACAACCGTTCAATCAGACATAAGTCCCACCTAAAGCCTTTTCATATATTATATATTCTTCTGCACATCGATTTAATTCAGTTCAGTTCAAAGAAATGCTGACACAGATGTCAAAATATTAAGGAAGCTATAAATTTTAAAAAATTTAATCCCTATGTATATTTTTTACTGAAAGCAGACCACCAAAATATATTACTTCAAGGAAGCTTGGGTGAGAAGTCAATAGTCAAAGTTTCTTGAAAAGCAAGACAACGGAAATTACATGAAGATTTCAGATAAATATCTCTACACTGTTCATCCAATCTAGATGAATGTGTCCTAGATTTTTTGCATGATTGATGTAAATGTCAATGCACTTTTCCTTAGTATTAACTTTCAACTTTAAGATTTTTAAATGCTGTAAGACAAAAAAAACCCTGTACAACACATAGCCAACTCCTTCAGGAAGTACTGAGAGTCCTGGTTAAATTTCAAGACCAGATAGGTTGCAGAATATGACACATTTTCTCAGTGCAACAAACCACTGTATCTGGTACCTTGTTTTAACATTTTAAAAATAATAAGGGTTCCTGTAGCCAATAAATTCATACCAGCATCCTCAGAAATGTGCTTGATGACATCTTCATCTGCCACAAATTTGACTTCTAAGATGTTGCTGCTCTTTGGATTACTCATAGCAAGTTATCTAAAACCAAAACAAAATAATGTTTCATATTTCTAGCAAGGGCTCCTACATTTCAAAGGACATGTTTAAATGGGAAGAGGCCTATCTACTTTACCACATCCCTACTGGGTTTATTAGCATTTAGAACAGTCATTCTCAACAGGGTCCACATGGCCCCCTGAGGGGGCATCCTGGCACATCTGAAGGGGGTCACAGACTGGAATAAGTATTCACACACTGCCTTATAAGGTTCATTATACAACTTACGCAATCCTCATTCGATCTATATTTCTTTCATATTGTGTTTACGGCAGTGACCAAAAAACGGTTGAGAATAGCAGCTCCAGAACACCCATGTTGGCTACCACACTGAATTTAAGGTATAGCCCCACTAACAGTCTAGTAAAGTGAAATTTAGGCTCAGGGCCTCTACATAATACCCAAGCTTCAAAAAGCGTTCCCTAGTCACACTGGCCACGTGGCAATGGAAACTGTCTTCGGAAAAGTGCTGGCTCTACGGCTTGAAAACAGGATGAGCACCGCCCCCTAGAGTCGGACATGACTGGACTAAAATGAACTTTTAAAACTAATCTTATTTAAAATAATCTGCAGTGGTGCGTCAATTTACGAACTTAATTGGTTCTGAAACTCTGGTCGTAACTCGAAATGGTCGTAAGTCGAAGCACCATTTCCCATAGGAGTGCATTGAAATCCAATTAATCCGTTCCAGCTGAAGAAGAAAAATCACAAAAACATCAAAAAAACCAAAACAAAACAAAAACACTGCAAGACCCATTGGAAATGCACTTAATCCGTTCCAGCCGAAAGGGGGGGAAATAAAAGCAAACAAACCATGCAAGACCTTTCAGAAATGGAAAAAAAAGCAAAGAAACCCTGCAAGACCCATAGGAAATTGGGGGGGGGACCCAAAAACAAACAAACCCTGCAAGACCCATCACAGCACCTAGGATTTTAATCTACTGAGTTTTGCTTAACTCAGCAAGATTTGTTTCAAGAAACAGGTTTATAATTATGCTATAATGTTGAATTCCCCCAAAGCTGCATTACTATAATGAGAGAGGCAAAAATCACAATGACATAATACCATTTAAATTGAACCAGTGTAAATTTTCAGAAAGTGGTACAAAATGCTTGCTTGCACATAGTGGCAGATCACTATGTGGAATATCATTTAAAATTTCAAGTAGATATCAAGATGATTCCGTAGCCTAGAATATATGATCAACAGATTCACCTCTCTCTCTCTCTCTCTCTCTCTCTCTCTCTCTCTCACACACATACACACACACACATACACACACACAAAATCCCGAAGTAACCCTGAAAGCTGAAAGTGGCTCTGTGAGATTCATGATGTTAACCCTGAAAGATACTGACTGAAAGTGGCTCTGTGAGATTCATGATGTACGTGTCTGTCTCCTCCCTCCTGAGAAGGCTTGCCAGTTCATTATTTCTGACTTGATAAATTAAAATCATTATTTCTGACTTGATAAATTCAACTTCAGCAATTACATTAAAACCAAAGTTACTTTCTTCTGCATCAGATTAAGTCACAGATCAGTGGAATGTGATGGATATTGCATCCCACTGACCTTTCCCCACCCATCTTTTACCCTTAAGGTTCAATCTACAGCTGTTAAAATAAAACATATACATACCTCATGTAAATGTTAGCATGGTTGATACATAGTTGCTTATCTAAAGAGGCAAGGAAGTTGAAGTCAGAAACATTTGTATATCCAAGTTATCTTTTCCTGGATCTCTGCACACTTTAGTATCTGAAACAAAGTGTGAACAAATGCAAAATATAAAGGGAATTCAAATGTGATTATCTTGAGGGGTGAATCTGAGGAAAAACTGTTTAGAAACATATGTGATGGATAACGTAAAACATGGCACACCACCAAATACTGTATTCTTCCTTTTTTTTCAAAAACTTCCTGATTACCTTGTATTAGATTTTAATCTATTCAGTGTATATAGAAAGCCACTTGACCTGGTCATACAGAGGCAGGAGTTCAGGACTGCCCGTAAACAAGTCATAGATATATTTTCCCCCATTTATTCAAACTGTGTTCCACATCTGTTTTTTTTTATCACCATACCCAGACCAATAGACAAGACTGTGAGCATTTGATTCACTGGGGGCAACAAATCTGACTTCAGTCTTTAGACAGTGAAAACAATCTCATCCAAATTAGGCATGTTGCCATCTTGCACAAATTATTCAGGCATATGTACGCAACTAAAAATTGCCAGTAGGAAGACATTACCAGTACAGCATTGTACACCTTGTTTTACAGCAAAAAAGGACCTTCACTCTCCTAATGCTTTTAGGACCAAGTGACTAAGTTCATATATTATTTTCCCCAAACCCTACAACAAGCTGAAACTCAGCCTACCAACTAACCTCCATCAACTCTTACCTGGACCAGGACTGGCGAGAACTGCAATCCTTCAGCGGGCCACGCATTCGTCACTTTTGTAGTACCCTATTTTTTCATTTTAAACAGCCTAAGGAACCGAATTTCCCCCTTCCCTGGTTATGATAAAAGGTTTATCCAAACATCTGGCGAGATCCCTTCTGTCTGGACCAACTCTTTATAGAAGGCGAGCGACTGACTTCAGAAGCTCTTTTGACTTTTAAAGAGTGGAAAGTCCAGCAATACCTTCTTGTCCCGTTCCGTCTTATGGCTGTGTGTAGACCTAACCTTAAGAGAGAAGGTGAGGGAAGAAGCACGGCGGGCACCCTCACACGGGGCTGGCCAGGGGAAGCCTGGCGGCACCACGATCTCCGAAAGCCACCACGAAAGCCGCCGGTGCTGCTACGAAGCGAGCTCCCCAGGAAAACGTCGCCTGCATGGAGTGGTTCCGCAGGGGAAGGAAGTCCCAACCCCTTCCTCTCGAGGCGCTGCTTCGTGACCCGTTTCCTTCTTCGCCATAACTGTTTATTCCTCTTAATGCCTTCCGTCTTTTCCTTCGCCCCGAGAGAGAAAGAGAGAGCAGCTGGGAAAGAGAGGGAACTCCGTGAGGGCTGCGCCCGTTGGTGGCTGCGGCTACGGAGGCAGCTGGAGGGGGCTTGGCGGCGGCGGGCAGAAGTTAGACCAGGGGTTCCCAGCCTTGGGTAACCCGGGTTCTCATGCACTGCAGCTCTCCGCCTCCCCCCCCCCAAAAACAACAACAACAACAAACACACAAAACCAAACCTGGCAAGCGCAGCTAGTGGTGAAGGCTTCTGGGGGGGTTGCAACTCAAGAACTAGGTCGGGAACCAACGAGTCAGAGCGATTAACGGGGCTCGGGGAGCGGCGAAAGAGTGCTCGAACCCCATCTTTTGTTCCGTCTGAACTCTTCGGCTCCCGGAGTTGGATAAAAGGCAATCTGGAGTTGCGTAGGAATGAACAGAGAGGGACACTAGGTGTCCCGTCCGCGTTTCCTTGGCTACTCTTGATTTTCTGAATTTTTTTAAAATTGAGATATTGGGTGAATAGATAAAATATATTTTCAATGCCCTACTTTGGACTCCACCTTATCCTTGGCCCATCGTATCCCTTTGGAAACCCTCTTTCGTGAGTGGGATGTAAACAGGCAACCGCTTAGTCCTTTTCCCACCCACCATAAAGCGGCGCTGCCAGATGTTCCCTTCTCTCTTTTTTTTCCCTCAGCCTCCATCCACCCACAGCCCTTCGCAAACCTTCCTTTCTTCCTCTTGCACCTGTATATGCGGGCTTATAGACATATCACTGGTGTGCATCTCTTCCCCACTGACATCCCCAGAGATACATATGCCATCCTCACACGCTTAAAACACGCTGGATAGGAATGGTCCAACAAAGGATAGTGCCTTTATTTTAAGTAAGATGTACTACTGATCCGCTGCAATACTTCTGCTCTAGTAAGTGACCACAAAATTCAGTTGGTGAATCAAGGCTGAAGAATTCATAATCACAAATAGTTTTAATGGTTCCAAGCCTCTGCAGAACATTTTTCTGCACTACTGAATCACTACATCCTCAACCTCCCTGCTTAAAACCAGTATGTTGAATTTTCAGATAGGGTGATGGGATGGCATAGTTCTTTCAAACTGTCTATCCAATAAGGTGCCCAGACCAGGACCGGGGGGATCTTTTTCAACCTGCAGGACACATTTCCTCATCAAAGCCAGAGACTACTCCATTCGTATGTCAGTGATGGAAAATCCTGAAAAAAATGTAGATGTGGTTGATGGTAAATGTGAATGGGATCAGAGACCCTGCTCTGCTTTTTTTATCTGTTCACACTCCCTATGCAGCTTTTATTCCCCACTTCTTTTTTGCTGTCTTTCTCCCTTTTCTTTAGCATTTGCTTCCTCTCTTTAGAGTCATCCTTCAAGTAGCTGCATGATGTGAGCAGGAGGGAATCCTATTCTGGATGGAGGATGGTTGTACCTGTGTTCTTTCCCTCCATCTTCATCCCCATCTTTTATATTCTTTAGAGTGTTTCGCAAACCTTGGAGATCCCTTGAGTGTACCAGTATGTTCCTCTTGTGCATGCTCAGTGGAGTTTTTTTCAGCCTGAACATCAGAAGTAGATGGAATGTTGATACATAGATATAAATCCTTTGGGGGTACTCTCTTCTCATACAATTCACATGAGAGGAGTAATCAGGCTGTGTTTTCTGGTCCAGTCTCCAGCTTTTTTGGGTATAAGTGTTGAAACAAAGGGTCTCTTCTACACGTGTTGGCTTACCACATGATTTAAAATGTCTAATGAGCAATTGTTTTAGATCATGCATGGCTCATACACATATGGAGCGGGCACCCCAATTCAGATCCACAAAAACACCCATGGATAGTTGAGGGGCCTTGTGGCTCAGTGGTTAAATCATTGTAGTGCGTCCAAAATGGTGCTAACAACCCTACGTTCAATCTCAGGTAGCTGGTCTTTCGAGGCTGGTAAAATTAGTACCCAGTTTGCTGAGGGGACAATGTGTAGCCTGCATAATTCACTTGTGAACGGCCCAGAGTGTTTTTTAAGCACTATGGCGCAGTATATAGGCAGCACACTTTGCTTTGAGGTGCTAAAGCAGAGAGGCTGTGGCAAAAGGTCCAGCAAACAAATGGTTATTGGCTTATATACACTTACATAATTGTTGCATGTATCATCTTGCTGAACAGTGCTAATGCATGTTTCAAAAAAAGTGTGCTTCAAAGAAGCATTACTGTGTCCCTGACTATGGAATGAAAATAAATATTAGTTTTTAGTTGTAGCCCTCATAAATTCCCTGCAAAAAGTACACAACGTGAAAAACTATATTTAAACTGAATCTTTGTACATAATTTTTACTAATATTCACAACATATGAAGAACCTGTATTTCTATATACATACGTATATGTAACAACTGCATTTCTTCGAAAAGGCCTTGTCTGTTGGAAGACTCCCAACTTCTTGTCCTTTCAACCTTCACTTAAGTTTAAAAAGTATCCTATGCCAAAATTATCCATTTGAGTGAGGAAAAAACTTATGCTGAAGAGGCTTCTGTCACTTCTACTGAAGAATGAATCTTAACAATAAAAACGTACACTCCCTCATTCAAGTTTGTATTATCCCCAAGTTTTAGCGTGCCATTTTGCGACCTCTTGGTGGTATAGGTGGAGGCGGATGGAAGCTGTCACTCAGAGGCCTGCAACAAAATATTGGAAAAACAGATTAAGAATGATTTTAATGGTATATAAGGGGTCACCTGCACAAATGAAAAAGCTCAAGAGGCTGTCTTGGTGTTTCAGCTTCAGTTGGTGCATGACAAAAACTAAGGCGTTTTTGTAATATCAGTCTACATGGTACTTTACAGTGTAACACAAAGGAAATAGGGTTTTGTTCTAAGGTGGGCACAATGTAGGGTGGGATGTAACAGAGGTGGGGGGAAGAATGAGGAAATCAGATATGGAATGCACATGAGCAAACACACAAGCAGTTTCATTTAAAATTGGGAGGCAAACTATAGAGTTAAGCCCAAAATGGTTAAAGGCATATACACCACACATTTTTTTCAGGGAGAAGTATATTTTTCATTTGTTATTTATAAGTAAAACATAAACAGGGAGAACAAACTTCAGCAGTACTCTTGCAATAGCTACATTAAAATGTAGTCTCGAACAATTAAAAGTTACAAACTGCATACTCAAAGAAAGAGCAACGGTCAGCCAATATTATTCACTCATGTATTGCTTCAACAGTCATAACACACTTCCTATTTAAACACCCCTTGAGCCCTGCCTGAGCTGATTAAAGCATCTTAAACCTCATGCTCAGGGCTTCCTGGATGAATGTACCAGATGCCTTCAGTGTCCACGCCTGGATGACCTTGTGTGCAGTGGCTCAGGACTTCATTGTTGCCGTAAGAATCAGGCAGCTATCCAACATGAAATTGCCCCAAAACATGAAGCAGGGCATACTTTACAACTGGTTTTCTTGAGAGGTGAACAGTGATCTAAAAATAACCTATTTGCCACGTATTTCCTTGTTATCAATGAATCACTTGAATTTAGACCCTCAGTGGTATTACCACTTGGCAAAGACAGAAAAGTTACACGAATAGCTCAGCCCTTAGAGGCTAATGGATTCTGGCATGGCAGATGCTTCTGACAAAGCTGTACTTGCCCTCTGAATAAAGGGATAAACATAGATGGTTCACATGATTGTTTCCAAAAGATGTATTCCACTGAGCAGAGCCCATGCAAACTCTAGAAGATACAGTACACCTAACCTGAAAACAATTAAGCAACTGGAAAGATGGTTGGAAGACATGCTTCCACTGAGCAGAGCCCATGCAACTCTAGAAGGCACACCTAACCTGAAAACAATGAAGCAACTGGAAAGATGGTTGGAAGACATGAAGAAATGCTGGTGTTGAGTGAACACAAGAAAGAGCCTACCACTGGGGCTGCTCTGTGACAATGATGAAGGTGAAGAAACCTCTCTTCACCTACCACCTCTGCACCCCCCTCAGTGCCATCCAGCAGAACATTTTTATTTTGTTCTTGGCTCTTGCAATCAAGATGGGGAGAAATAGAGTAAAACCACTGATATGTTGTGGCGTATTTATTCGGTCACAAAATTAATGCAATTCCATTAGAGTTGATATCATGTTGTGGCATATTTATTTGGTCACAAAATTAATGCAATTCCATTAGAGCTGTCTTTGCATGATTGGAGCCTTATGCAGCCTATTATGCTCCAGTCTTGCCCTTTATGGCTTATTAAATCACAATTTCCTACCCAAGGAGATTGTAGTATTAGCTAATAGGTAGATTACTGAACTGCTGGGAAAATGAAGTCAATGAGAAATAATGTAAAGCACATAAATAAAGCAAATTGCCATGTTACTGAAGCACTCTCCTAGCACACTGATAGTGGAAATGTGAATACATAAAGCAAATGAAAACAGAATAGATGGACTCTAGAGCACACACAATAAAGCAAGCAATATGAAGCAAGAGGCGGGAGAAAGGGAACATCACCATGAATTTCCCTCCATTAATTCCACAGTGGTGTCCATATAATTGCCAAAGACTACAAATGATCTTTTTCAGAAATGTAAAAATTAAGAAATGTACTCTGCTTTTTTTTTACTGGATCTTTTTATGCCAACATCTGGCATTAGATGAGTCAATGATCAGCATCAAGATGATAATAACAGTCATGCTAATATACCTGCTAGCAACTCGAGGAGGTATTCTAGGGGGTCTTCCAGGTGGCAAGGTAGGTTGACTGTCTACTTGCTGGGTTCCAGGGCTGAAATTTCTCTTCATTTCTGGTGTCTCATTATCCTACATAAAGATTTGAATATGGAAGTCATTTTTGGACAAAAGTCTTATCTTTGTTAAATCTTTTTTCCTGAAGATGGCATAAACATTGTAAACCCTAAGCAAGACTGAAAGTATGTTTGGTTTTTGGGGAATAAGGAGGGAAGCTAGCTCTATGCAGTTACTTCTCAGGTGGATAGCTGGAAAGCATCTGGTCTTCCCCTTGCCTATAATATTCTTTCTGAGGGGGACAGGGTACAACCCACTACTGGTTTAGTCCTCTAGCAAAGGTTAAAGTGCACTTTTATTGAGTTCAGCAATTTTAAGGTTATCCTTTTTTCCCTCTCAATTCTCTCAAAATGTGCAGCAAAATCTCTACAACTACTGCAGCAGCAACAGTTCTGCTTAATTCTTCCTTCTATTCCTTTTTCAAGCTCTGTCTAGTTTCTGTCTGGCTAGAAATTTAAGCAGGATAGAAACAACCAATTATGCATTGTACAGCAGTTACCCAGAATAATGATCTTTATATCAAAATAGTTCAGAACAGTTGTCAAACTATGGTAGAATAAAGGTATGAGGAATGATAAAGTTACCTCATTGTCTTCATCTATCCCACTGCTGAGACTAAGTATACTCCGTGTGCTGGAACGCGTACTTGAACTACCTGGTTAGATGGGAGAACAAGACAACGATTTGCTTCTGATTCTCCAGCATTTTATGAATGGGAGTGTAGCGTTAACCCTGCTCATTAATATTTATGTTGAGATTTGCATGCACCAATAGGAGTTGGTGAGGGGAGGAGTTAAGTGAGGTGAAGAAAAGGAGGGAGAGAGAGTAGGCGGTTGAGAGTGAAGAGAAAAGGTTGTTTATTTGAGAGTTAATGATGTTGACTGGACTGCTATCACCTGTAACAATAAACAATTTCTACTTGGTTCTTAAATGATAACGTTGCCAGGACCTCTGTCATTAATAGTGAAAAAAAGTTGATGTAATCAACCGGTGGCAGTTGAATGACACATAGCTTGTGCCTTTGCTTGGTGAAACAACCAAGGGACAGGCGGGAACATGACAGGGACCAATAAACTCAGTTTCCCCTTTGAGAAATCACCTGTAAGTCCTATCTCCTGGTCCTAAAATTATCATTCTCTTTAGACCTACTGTGATTCTTGAATTAGGGGAAGATCTCCCTGTAAAGGTTCCTCCACTAGTAACACCCTTTGGTTTGTCATCCCAGGGGAAAGACATATTTTCTGTAATCTTATTAATTAATTTTAAATCATATGATATTAACATAATATATAATCCAAATATTAACCAAACTACAAAACCTATTCTATGTTTGGACAGACTCATCTGTCTGTCTGTCTGTCTTTCACCACCCCATTAGTGCCAAAGCACCATTCTGTGGGATTTACAAATGATTAAAAATAAAACCTCACAACAGAACACTAAAATAAGGAATAATGTGACAAAAGCATTAAAAAGAAAACCGGTGGCAGCCACAAATTATCACAGAACAGTGGAGCTCAAGGAAGGACCAAAACAGAAAACAAATCTGTACAATTTGGGAGGGAGGGAGTTGATAAGAGACCTTCAATACATGTGGGGACATACAAGTCACTGTATGCATAGCCTGCTGTAAACATACAAAATTACATGAAAAATTCAGCACCAAAAAACCCTAAATTCTCTCTACATGAAAGTGAAATGGCCTCAAGGCCATTCACCTGACCACTTGAAACCCATTCAGACCTCTCTTGTTTCAGAGTTTTACCAAACACTCTCATGCATATGTGCTCCTCATCTTCAGAACTTTTGTGGCTAGAAATGTGGTGTTCTTTGAAAACAAAACAATGCACAGCTCCTTTAGATACTGAATTACATGCCTCACATTAAATGCTGCACTTGCAGAGGAATAGAGCACAATGACCTGGCAACTGGTTCATTGAGGCAGAATAATACCAAGTACAACTGGAGCATTTGAGATTCTAAGTCTTCTCATTCTTCCCTAAAGGCTTCATGGCTTACTTGTGGTGCTTGATGCGCTCTCTGTTTTCCAGTCTCCTCGCCTGATCTCTTTACTTGGTGGGAAGATATTTTTCCGGGGACTAAATTCATATATGCCACATTCTGGTTTCTTGGCAACATTCTGGGAATGTCCAACAGGCACAGTGATTTCTAAGACTAAGAAGAAAAAACAATGTCTGAATTGTAGGAAGGCATATGCTTTGGAACCATCTTCAGCACAAAATGTTTAAAATCACAGAAATTTAAACTTTCAGGATATACTTAATTTCTTGTATAGCCCATTCCTGCAGTATAGCCTATTTGCATATATGCAGAATAGCCAATCTGTAGATAAAACTGCAAATATGTTTTGCTGTACGACACTACCTGAGATAAAGCACTCCCGTGTATTTTGAATAGAGATAGAAAAGTTAGCAGAAAAACGTATTCGCGAAGGCTTTCACGGCCGGGATCTAATGGTTGTTGTGGGTTTTTCGGGCTCTTTGGCCGTATTCTGAAGGTTGTTCTTCCTGACGTTTCGCCAGTCTCTGTGACCAGCATCTTCAGAGGACAGCACTCTGTGCTCTGAAAAATCCACAACAACCATTAGCAGAAAAACCTTTGCACTTTTGTTAATGGTTAATGAGTTTACCTTAGAGGAGGCAATTTTTAATAAGTTAAGTAGATGTTGAATTGCTATTTTAGGTAGGTGACTACAATAAATCTTATGCCAAAAAAAAGTGTAAAAAAGCTGTTCATTGTTTTACACATCTCCCTCCATCCTTCTTCTGTATTTCGGAGGGAAGGAAACATGATTTGTTCAAAACCCACATTCCACCTGCCCCCCAAATACTTCTCTTTCTATCCCTCCCTTTTAATCTCCTCATCTCCTTGCCCTTTTAATTTGCTGATTCTCAAACAAATCCCAATAGTACTTCCAGGAAGGAAAAAAATCAATTTCCTGGAAGCCTGTATATGTAGTCCAGAGTAGATACAAATAAGACCACCACCGCCCCTCCAAGCTGTCCTTATTACCTATTGATTTTAAATTATTTTAATCTTGCAGTACAATGCTATCTAAATAATGGGTGTTTAAATAAATAAGACTTTGGCTTTACAGTTAGATTTTTCTTAAAAATGTGTATGTATCAACCAGGCCCAGATGAATAGCATAGTATCATAACTCTGTTGTGCTCAGCTGTGGACCATCAGGAAGGAATAGCTTGCAATTGCCAGAGTTTTGAGTTTAGTCACATATTTGCTGCATATTTACCTGGATTCTTGCCGGCCTTTTGCTTTTCCATTTGTCGTCGAGTGATGCTTTCACGGAGTCTTTTCAGGTTTTCCTAAAAATGCAAAGTGATATTTTCAAGGACCTGAATACCGTATTTTTCCATGTATAATATGCCCCCACGTATAAGACGCCTCCCCTTTTCTAACCCAGAATTTCTTTCTTCAGAAGAAAGTGGAGAGGGAAGGCAGGAATCATCAAAACAATTCACCAAAACAATTCCAAAGGGCTTCCCCCTCCACTTTCTTTGCAAAAAGTAGAGCGGGAAAAGCGGGGATCAAAGCGCTTTGATCTCTCCCCCCTCCTTACTTCTATGTATAAGAGAACCCTAAATTTTTAATCTAAATATTTTAGAAAACAGTATCATCCTATACACAAGAAAGAATATGGTAAACTATTGACAATGGCTTATAAAAATGGCAACTTCAAACTGCATCCAAACTGAATATTGGCTGAATTTCTTCGTTCAAAAATACATGCAACTGACTGTGTAACATCTCATGGAAATACTCCATTTGAGAAGGAACTGGCAGGCTATCCGAGGAGCCAGCCAACAGAGCTGTAACTAGGGTAGGGCAATCAGGACTTTGCTCTAGGGGCCCAAAACCTAGAGGTGAATCTATTGGTAAGTTTTAAAAAACTTCTCCCCCCCACCACCATTTCTTTTTCAGGGAGACACCATTTCTCCTCTCTTTTCTTGGATCCCATAGAGCTGGCTATTTGTGCTTACATGAGCTCTGTAAAGGCAAGCACTGGCCCCTTTAAGCAGCCTGTGCTGGAGAAGGAACAGGCAGGCTATCCGAGCTCTGTAAAGGAAAGCACTGGCCCCTTTAAGCAGCCTGTGCTGTTCTGCACAGAACATATCCTTCCCCCACCTGCTTTTTGTTTGTTTATTTCCAAAGCAAAACAGAGGATGGTGTTTGAGGTGGTGGGAGAAACTGGGCTGCCACCAATTGTCAGCCCTTCTCTGGCCTCCAGTCAATGTTTCTCTGATGTTGCAGATACACATTCCAAGGTCTCTGCAATTTTGAATGTGTTCCAAACACAGTTGTGGGCAAATGGGCTTTTGAAAATTCTCCACCTTTTTTCCTGGGAACAGAAATGGGAAACAATTTCACCAAATTCCTCCAGAGAAATGTGAGTTTTCCAACAGTTTCTCTGAGGTGGAGACCAAAAACGTTGCTGTTCATTCCCTAAGGCATTATTGCTCTGTCACGACAATTGGAAACAACGGCAACTCTGTTGGGAGGCTGGCCACCTTTATATCTCCCCTGTTATGCCTAGAGCACAGCAGTATTGGTGGCAGGGAGGCAGGTGGAGAACTTTTGAAAATAGGTTCTCCACCTATTTACTCTCCTATTTCTAGGAGAGTAAGAAAAATAAAAGTATTGGAATGTTTCTTAGAAAAATTTACTTTGAGATATTTTGGTTTCACACTTGTCATTCTCAGGGTTCAGCACCTTCCACAGATCTTTCAAATTTGATATTTTCAAAGGGCAGCTGTAGATACATTTTGTCTCTTGCACAGATGCTTATAGTATAGTGCTTCCTTTTAAGCTCTGTAGCACATGTGAGGGTGGATAGTGTTGGTCTGGATCTAGGAAATCAGTGACTCATATGCTGAGGAAATTTCCTCCTCAAAATTGAAGGTCATTGTCAGGTTTTAACTGAAGTGGAGGAGGAGGACAGAGGAGAATGCTGGTGCCACAGAGATGCCTTAAAAATTTAATCTGTCAAAATAAAACCCCACCTCTGATTCATAAATGTGGGACATATTTTCTGCATCCATAATTCAGAATACCAGAAAATTTCCCATCATTGCCTTGCAGGAAAAAGGATGCTAGTTTCTTTTTGTCATTACTTAATTACTTTTCAGCCACACTTAAAGGACTTCTCATGGCTGTTTCCTGATAATAAATATCAAATTTATTGCAAGGGCACAAAACAGTCCTAAAGCCTAGAAGAAATCTGACCTCTAGATGCACTGTGTGCATCCAAGCAACTGTCTTCTGAGCTGAAAGGTGTTGAATTTTTATTCCATCACAAAGTTACATGAATTTTGAGTGCATCTACCCCACGCAGCCCAGTGCATGGCACATGCAGACATCTGTATTGAGAATAATCTCTCAATCGGGTTCCTTTCATGAAGTATTCTGATCAAATGTTCATTTATACACACCAGTGGGGCACAACACATATAGATTTAAGGAGAAGGTTAAAGAAAAGTTATGGGTATTTGTTGCAAAAATTAGAGGTTCTATATTGCTCTGAAGTGTGTGTAGTGTGGATCTTTCTTTGCAAAATGGCACTACTGGGTGTTTATGTAAACCTTTGGTGGGAAATGAAATGGTTTGAATTGGGGTGCCGATTGTAACTTTTTTACTGCAGAATCTATATCCATGTAGGCTTCAAGGTAGACACATCCCACCTTTTCTGACTATCATTTGCTGTTCTACATCAAGTTGCACAAAGTAGCAATTAATACCAACTATTCCTCTAGCCTCCTCCCTAAAAACAAATTTTATGAATCATCATCTTGTGTTTAGAACATCAAGTACATTTCAGATTTAAAAAATGAGAACAGTAGCAGCAGCAAAGTTCAGATGTTACCAATGATCAGCTGAGCGAAGGAGGGTTCTTCAGAGATCGAAAGAACGACGACTCCTTCCCCTTCGAATCCACAAAGTGCAGAAACTGAAATATGAAGTAAAGCCACCTCTCTCTATGCACAGCTACAGTCAGATCAAGCAACAGTTTGCATACACAGTATGTATGAATCGATCACTTGGGTCAATGAGACACTACCAATTACCATTTTTACAAAAAAGGTTCATCACAGCACCTGATGATAATGCAGATACTTACACAAAAGAATTTCTTCTAGGCTTTTGGATTGCTTTGTGCCCCAAGGAATATGTACCTAAAGAACTGGTTGAAAAACAGCCATGACTGTTGTTTTGTGTTTAGGTGAGAAGTGGGCTAACTGATTAAAAAATGTATCCAATTTTCAAAGTCCTTCACAGATCTATTGTATTTCAGCCTCAGAAGAAAATTCTAAAAACTCCTGGACAGATATCCAGCCAGGTCAGTTTCCATTGTGAAATAAAATCAAATTATTTTTGCAGTCACTTGTTATGATTAGTTGGTATCATTTGGTGTACATTTTTTGTATGTATCATTGTCTGGATGAAATTCTATTGCTTTGCTATGGAAGTGGAAGGCAAATGTCAAAATATTCCATCATTTCCTACTGGCAGTTAAGGAGTCTCTTCTGACATTGTTGGCAGTGAATGCACACCCCCTGGCTTGGTGTACACTTGAAAATTCCAGTAAGGACTCAACATTTGATAGCTAAAACTGACAGAATATTATTGCTAACAATATAAGAAGAGCTCTGGTGTAAGAAGAGAGAAAGGAAACGTTTGTTAAAAGGACAGCCATGTTAGCCTATAATCTGTTTGTGAAAATTATGAATAGCCTTGTGGTCCATTGGCCCAGATAGGCGGGGTACAAATCAATTAAACAAACAAACAAACAAGTAAACAAGTAAGTAAGTAAGTAAGTAAGTAAGTAAGTAAGTAAGTAAGTAAGTAAGTAAGTAAGTAAGTAAGTAAGTAAGTAAGTAAGTAAGTAAGTAAGTAAGTAAGTAAGTAAGTAAGTAAGTAAGTAAGTAAGTAAGTAAGTAAGTAAGTAAGTAAGTAAGTAAATAAATAAATAAGAGTTTTAGAATTTTTATATGGCGGAAGCTTTCATAGACCACCTATAGTCCATTAAACCTTGTGCTGAACAAAGCATTAAGATATATAGAGGTTTGGTATATAGAGGTCTCTACATTTCTTTTACCTATGAAAGCATTTTTCAATAAAAGAGTTTTAGAATTTTTATATGGCGGAAGCTTTCATAGACCACCTAATCCATTAAACCTTGTGCTCAACAAAGTATTAAGATATATAGAGGTTTGGTAAATAGATTTGGTATGAGGTCTCTACATTTCTTTTACCTATGAAAGCATTTTTTCGCCACAAACCTGCTGAAAGTGAAAAGAGTCTGATCTCCTTTTCTGGTTTAGTTGCCACTCCTTAAAGCACAAAACAGCTTCATCTACTGTAAGCATCCCCAGTTTCACTTGCTCCTGTAAAGTGATCAGCTGCCTTTGGCCAGGGGTTTTCATCCCAGCAAATGGGTCATATATACTTGCTTGAGACTGGATAGAAGCTGTAACTGCTGGCTCTGGAAAAGACAAGAGGGGGGAAAAAACCTGAGTACTTAAGAAAATCCATTTTTATTCTGCAGTTGTAAACATATTCTGTGTTTCTGTCACATGGCTTAACCAATATTGTCTGTCTCTGATGAAGGATGCTTGTGGTATTGTGATTCAGAATACGAGTAGAGACTTTCTGGGTTAAGTTCTAGATTGGCTAGAAACATAGCTTAGGAAAGCCATTTCTTAGCCGCAGCCTTCTTTTTTGTTGAAATGTCAATCAATCTTAAAGAGCTTTCGGAGAATTACTGAAAATATGGAACATATATTTAGAATCTACATGGTGCTCTTTAAAGATACAACATTTCTCTTGATAAATAAATAAATACAAATTAGCTGGGGAAATATTCATATTTATATACATTTCCTTCTGTTTCCGGATCTAACGTCAAAGTTCTTATAGGATTCAGGCTGAAACTACCTTGACAAAAATGCAGTTGCTATTGAATTTGGACAGTATGATCTGCATTTCTTTTGGTTGTTGACTACATGATGCAAAAACTAATGTTTTTACTGGGGCACCTAAACACACACACACACACACACACACACACACACACAGAGAGAGAGAGAGAGAGAGAGAGACAATTAGAGGAGGAAATGAGATTAAGAAATTGTTACTTGCCCCTTGTTTACAGCTTATTAATGTAGTTCTCCTGTAACTGCATCTCCTGCAGGGCTACAGGAGAAGGATGTTAGCAAGCTGCAAACAAGGCTGTTTAGCCACTTTCCTCATCTCTGTGCTGCCAGTTAATGGGAACAGATCTGGGTAAATCTAAATTCCCCAGTGTGACTTCACAGTGAGTGAATCCACATTTATCTCACTGTGTATTTGTTTGAAACTGTTTTAATAAAGCAACAAGGTTGGAGAAGAGAGTAAAACTGTCCTGAACTGGCACGGGCAGAAAGGCTCAGGTCGCAACAAAGACTTCCTGTTATTTCCAAATCATATCACATGTTTATTGATTGGATTTTCTTGATTTCTAAGCAGTTCTCAGGCATGGAATGCCAGGGGCTTCAGCCACTTTCTGTTTGCATGCTTCTGGTGATGGAGGGCAGGTTGGTACTAGAGGCTCCTCCTCCTCTTTCTCATCTGCAGCTCTATACAGAGCTGGTGCCTGGAAATCAAGCCATCTTTTGTCACTGCTGCAGTTCCCCCTTTCCCTTTGGTAGGGTATTCAGATGATGGTGGCTCTTATTGCCACATTGGGGGAGTGAGGACAGATGTGCTTTGTTCCAAGCCTTATATGGCAGGATAGTTTGGGCCAGCTTTTGCCTGGATATGCACTGGAGAGGAAAGAGATGTAATTTGCTGCTTCTCAATGTACTAAAAAAAGGAAGTTTGTAGAACACATTCTTGCATTGTATGCTGCAAATATGTTTTTTTTTCCTGGTTGCTAGCCTGCTCCTCACATTCATTGGACCACAGGAGCAGAGTTCTCTCACTTGAAAGTTAATACAATCACTAGGTTTAATCATTAATAGAAGTCACTACACCCAGGTTTGTCAGACAATGAGAAACTTCCTGTAATATAACTTACCTTTCCTAATGTTTCTTGCAGAGACATAGAGATTTCCAGATCTCTCTTGATCTTTTCCTGAAAATACTAGACAGAGAATTTATTTATAGCATTTTAATGTACTCCAGAACATAGTTCTTTGACTAGCCACACACAAAAATAATTTTAATTTAAAAAAGAATACAGTAAAAGGCAGAATTAAACCAAAACTCATAGTAACCCCAAAATGGAAATACCCAATTTAAAAGAGAAGCTATATCAATACCTAAAATTATATCAAACTATATGTTCCAAATAAATAGAGAAATCTTCCTGGAGACAAGCTATTAAAGACATAGGGCAATCTGGGGGATTCAGACCAGTCTTCAATACATGCAACTAAAGAAAGACTCTTCCCCAACAAGAAGCTTTGAATTACCTGGACCCATAGGAAATCCAGCCAACTTTCATTGCCAGACAAAAAAAATGCTGCACTTATCATTACTGTTAGCTCTAGAGCTGGAGATGAACCATCAGTTTGGCAGTTTGGTGCTGATTTGTTTATTGGCCAAACAGGTGTTTAGTGCTTCTGCCTCCTTCAGCGGGCACCCACCTGGCCTCCCTGCCCTGCTTCTTCCAGGCACTGCTTATGAGTGGGTACCCGCTGGAGCAGTGGTCTCCAACCTTGGGCCTCCAGATATTCTTGGACTTGAACTCCCAGAAATCCTGGCCAGCAGAGGTGGTGGTGAAAGCTTCTGGGATATGAAGTCCAAGAACATCTGGAGGCCCAAGGTTGGGGACCACTGCGCTGGAGGAAGCAGGCCTTTTAAGAGCTGAGTAGCTGTTCAGCCAGTAAATGAACTGATTTGTACTACTAAACTGATGGCTCGTGCCCATCTCTAGTAGCTCCTCTTTGTGTTGCTAGTAATGAATAGGGAAAAGTATCATACTGTTGCTCTGATCCTCTAACTTATAAAACCCATGAAAGACTGATAAATTTATATAAAAAGGAGCCTTGACATTTGGTCCTAGCTCAGAGAAGAGACAAATATTTCGAACAGCTACTGTTATGGGATTGTTGAACTTTCTCACACTAGGCTATAACACTTAATTTTTGCACAATAGTAGTCATTCAATTCTGATTCAGCCTGCCAATTACCTTTATAAATGTATGACTCTTTGTCTTGCGGCTTGGAGGAGGGATCAGGTCTTGGGACAGGAACAGGAGGCCTATTGACCAATTCCTGAGGGAAGTTGTCCTGCTCCACAGTGTGGTACACTTCTTCTTTGTCACATTGATGGTATATATCCTCTTTGAGTTCTGGCACACCTGTGCTAACACCTAGAGGACAAATTCAAACTAAAAGCAAAGGCATGCAGATCTAGGCAACTGTGTGCACTGAACTTTAACAATGTTGAAAAAGCCGATTTAATCAATATGTTAAACAGAAAATGTTAAATAATGCATTAACTGTGAAACAAATCCCAAGCATTACCACAATAAACCCTGCCAGAATTTTTTAAAAAAGATTACCATGTTAGAGAGGAAGTTTATCCCTGATTAAGTATTACCAAAAAGTATATTATTTGAATATAAAATAGAGAAAGCAGCTTAGACTTTCAAAAATCAAATAAATAAATAAATAAATAAATAAATAAATAAATAAATAAATAAATAAATAAATAAATAAATCATTCTCATAATAATTTTATATGCAACTGAAGTGTTGAAATCAGTAATCTTAATTAGAATATTAGTTATAAAATTTTGTTATTAGATATGATATGATTTTCTTCCCCAGAGGGATGGGGCCAATCCTGCATGCACTAAGGCTGCATGGTTCCAGCATGGCCCCAGTCCTGCTGCATATAAATATTTTAAATAAATGAAATAAATGAACTTTATCTCAGCACATTATTCTCCTTTTATCTCTTCTGCTTTATTTCTTGAGCTCTCAAGAATTTCAGCCTATGTGGATTAGACAGAGTACTAAATTATACATCCATTATGAAAGGACAAGTGAGGGTACAATGGAGAACTAGCACTGCAATTTTGATTGGACATTCTGGATTGATAACACATTTCAGAACCAGATTCATACAGATGACCTCAGTGTATCTTTGCTTCTGACTACTATCAGAAATTAAGTTATTAATACTAAGACCTCTCTCTCCACATGTACTCACCTGATAAGAACCTGTGCATCATGTAAGTCTTCGTCTGTGAAAAGGGGCTGCTGGCATCTGACTGAAGCATTTCTACATCTGCGGGGGAAACATTCACACATTATTTGCTGCATTTTTTTGTCTAGAGTTTATACAGTGGTGCCTCGCTTGACGGGGATAATTCGTTCCGTTCAAATCGCTGTTAAGCAAAATCCTCGTCAAGCGAAATGAAAAAGCCTATTGAAACGCACTGAAAACCGGTTCAATGCATTCCAATGGGCGAAATACCTCAGCGTCCAGCGAAGATCCTCCATAGGGCGGCCATTTTCTGGTGCCTGTAATGCGAGGAATCCGTCCTAAAGCACAGCGGGGAGCCATTTTGCACAGTGGGCGGCCATTTTGAAACCCGACGATCAGCTGTTTTTGATTGTCGTTAAGTGAAAAATCGGTTCCCGAAGCAGGGAACCGATCAACATTAAGCAAAAAAAGCCCATTCAGTCATTGTTTAGCGATTGCAGTAGCGATCTTAAAAAATTAATCGTCAAGCGATTTCCTCGTTTAGAGGTAATCGTCAAGTGAGGCATCACTGTACATGAAGGAGGGGTGCTGAGGCATCAGGTTTCATCCATGAAAGCTTGCTATTTGTTTGATTTCTTATTGATCCAATAAAAGGTATCACCCTCTCTTGCATTTGTGTGACCTTGGGGCCCACAGGCCCTATTCCTTGTTCTTTCAAATGAGTTTCACTTGGGTAGTATTGAAACCAATGGGACTTAATTTATTATTTTACTAGGAACTACAGTAGGTGCAATTAACTTCATCTGCATTCTGCCCCCATTGCCCACTTTCCCTCTCCAAAATATCTCCTCATTTAGCATCTTGTAATGAGAGTAGCAGGGAACATATTTCAACTTAACACAAACGTATGCACACTATCTTGTACCACAACTTAAATGTGAAATCTAAGAAGAGCACTGTATACATACACAAGTCCTCTGGGGCACCGGGAGCCAAGCCAGCCATGGATTCATAGAGCTCTTCATCACAGCCTGGGTTCAGTGAACATTTCATCAGCAGGTCAGTAGAAAGGTGAGCCATGGACTCATAAACAGAATCATCTTCATTACCCTGCATCAGCTCCTCTTTTATGTGACTTTTCAGCATGTCTGCAGTCTCCTACCAGAGGAAGGCAAACAACAGACTTTTCTCTGAGACAATGATGGTGATTTGCACTGACTCCAATCCGACACACGTTCCTACTAAATTTACACAATGATTCTCCAACCCTAGGTTCAAAGGCAGTGGTTCGATACCCAGCCTACAGACAGGAAGGCCAAGAATAAAGCTTAGAGAATGAGGAGAAGTAATGACCTGCAAAAGACTGTTGCATTTCAATGGGCAAAGTTTTTTTGGATATAACATTGAATTAGAGAAATTAGGGAAAAGCTGTGGAATACAAACAGTAAAATGACAATGACAACATTTTATAAAGAGAACTTATATAAAATGTTTTATAGATGGCACCTACCACCTGCTAGATTAGCTAAAATGTTTTCTAATATGTCTAATAAATGTTGGAAATGTGATAAAAAAAGCATGTACTTATCATGTATGATGGACTTGTGATAAAGTTAAAAACTTTTGGATTAAAATACATACAAGGCTTGTTAAAATGTTATATATATAAACTTTAAACCAAAACTGATTATTTTTTAAATAATAACAATAACAATAACAATAACAATAACAATAATAACAACAACAACAACAACAACAACAATAATAATAATAATTTTTAAAATCCATCTATGCTTATTTAACATCGTGTCACCTGGGTTCAGCTTATAATCATTTGTTAATACAACTACAATATATATTAAGCTCTTAATCTATACAACTTGCTTCTAACCATTGATAAAACAAGTTCCACATTTGATAATATTCTGTATCTTCCTTTCCTTTGATTTTCACTGTCAGTCTATCCATTTCCATATCTTTTTAATTATTTCTTGATCTGTAGGTGTTTCTTCATTTTTCCAGTATTGTGCAAATATAATCCTTGTGGCTGTTAAAATATGCAGTACTAAACATGCATTTTGTTTATCAATACTTACTGGTATTATACCTAACAGAAAGAGTTCTGGCTTAAAATCTACATTTTATAATTATTTTAACAAGCCACATATGTATTTTTTTCAAAAAATATTTGCTTTATCACATGTCCACCAAAGATGATAACTTCCAGTTTTTATGACATTTCCAGCATTTACTTGACCTGTCAGAATATATTTTAGCTAATCTATCAGATGCTAAATGCCATCTATAAAACATTTTATATAAATTCTCTTTATAAAATGTTGCCATTGTCATTTTATAGTTTCTAGACCACAGTGTTTGCCATTTTTCAAAGTCAATATTATATCCAAAAATTTTTGCCCATTGAACCATCATTTCTTTGACCTGTTCATCCTCCATTTTCCAATTTAAAAGAAATTTATATATTTTCCTAATTAATTTATCATCTGATGTTAACATTATTTGGTCAAACGTCTGTTCTTTATAAAAATCATACATTTTTGAATCCCTTTCATATCTAGATTGTATTTGCATTATGGGCCACCACGATCCGTCTAGTCCCTGGTCCATAAAACCAGAATTGTTTCTATTAGGTATAATAACAAAAAATTTGGCTAAACAAAATGTATTTTTAACATTGTATATTTTGACAGCAGCTAGGATTGTACTGGCACAACATTGGAAAAATGAGGGAATACCTACAGATGAAGAAATAATTAAGAAGGTTTTGGACTGTGTGGAAATGGACAGACTTACATTGAAAATTAAACAGAAGAAAAATTCAGAATATTTTCAAACATGGAATCTGTTCTATCAATGGTAAGAAACAGAGTGCAGAGATTAGGCCTTAATCTGTATTAACAAATGAATATAAGCTGAACCAATGTATCACGATGTTTAATAAGCATAGATTGATTTGACTAATAAATAAATAAATAAATAAATAAATAAATAAATAATTTTTGCATCTGTAAAGTATATTGGTCTCATAAACACTAGGAAAGCTAGATATGTCAACCATTACTCACAGAAGTCATTTCTCTCATATTAAAACTTATTAGAGCTTGGGAAATTAGGGGTTTTTTTTGGACTACAGCTGCTAGACTTCTAAGAGTTATGATGTTTATATGCTCAGTTGCTGGTGTCTCAAGGCCTTAATTCTAAAGGTCTGTAAAGTATATTGGTCTCATAAACACTAGGAAAGCTAGATATGTCAACCATTACTCACAGAAGTCATTTCTCTCATATTAAAACTTATTAGAGCTTGGGAAATTAGGGGTTTTTTTTGGACTACAGCTGCTAGACTTCTAAGAGTTATGATGTTTATATGCTCAGTTGCTGGTGTCTCAAGGCCTTAATTCTAAAGGGACTTTCTAGAGTAACTGAGGGGATGGTTCTTAAGATCTTTCTTTCATTATATTATTATGTTACTGTCAAAATGGAATCCATGTGTGCTGGGCCTTCAGGGGAAACACATCTTTATCCCCTGCAGAAGGGGGTGGCATTTACATACTGGCCTAGCATCACTTTCGAAAGGATGAAGACCACAAAGCATATTACCCTGTTGTTTCAAAGTCAGGGACCATCCTATGGAGTTCAACAGTTGTGCATTTCTAGCCCTTTTGCAGGGATGGGGATGCTGTCAAGTCAGACTTAAGTCACACTGGGAACTTGACTCAGACTCAACTGTTTTTTATTTCCCAATTACTCCGACTCTACTCATCACTCAGAACCTACTCACCTGCTCCCTTTTTTCTGGGGAGGGGGGAAGCTTGTTTTTAATAGGGAATTGGACTTGGGACTTGGTATCAAAGACACGGACTTGGGACTCAACGTCTCAAAGAAGGGCCAACATTCCTGCCCTTCTGTCCCCACCACATGGGAAGCACAGAACAGGAGGGAATCTCTCTTACCACATATTCATCAATAAATTGCCGGAGATCTTTGAAGCCGTGCTTCTCTGCAATGTTGTTAGGATAGTGGCCATATTTGTTGGCAACGCTGTAGGCCTGCAGGGCTCCAGGACATGTCAGCAAAAGGGCAGTGAGATTCTTCAACCCATATTTTGCAGCAAAATGCATAAGAGTTGGCAGCTCTTCATCCCTCTGGCCTAGACAAAAAAAGACAGGGCAATCCATTGGCAGCCTCAGCTCTGCCAGCAGGTGTTCAGAGCAATATAAAAGGAACACAAGCTGCCTTTGAAGATGGTCTGGAGACTTCAGTTAATCCTCAACCTGGGCAACTAGGCTGCTGAGACTGGCTGAGATCACATTATGCTATTATCCCATTTGCACTAGCTGTCGTTCCAGACCACAGCAAAAATGGCCAGGGACCACGATACGGCCCACAGGCTACCTGTTGCCCACCTTAACTCTAGAGTCTTATACAAGAGGAGATAGTCAAGCATGCTAGGCACACTTTCTCCCATATTTTATTATTAGATTATGTTACACCTTCCCACAGAATACAATTTTATCTGATGTCGGAAAGTTAGTATTCATGGAGTATTCCTCCATCTCCACCCAAAAGCACTCACTTGTAATGTTTTCTTCTTCCAGCTGGTTGATGCCCAAGAGGTGTAAACCACTTGCAGGGAGGTTCTTTTTCAACGACTCTGTCAGAATTTTGTCGAGAGTTTCTGTGTTGTAAGGTACTATCTTAAAGGCCTGAATACCAGAGGAAATCCATTAATAATGGGAATATTTAAGACATGATTTTGAATATTACAACGAGTTATCCGTCAACTGATAATCTCAGAATATCCCTGTTTTGGAACTGTTTAGGTGCACTGGGGGGGGGGGGCTCCCTAAAAGGCATGAGCAATTTAAGCAAATTGCACTGCTGAATATCTAGGGTCAACAGATTGTGAGGTGTTAGCTGCTGTGCAAAATGAGCCATTTCACATCTGTCTCTGTCTCTTACACACACTGCATGAGATTATAGTCTCTTCATATACATTCACAGAAGAAAGTAAACTATAAATGTGGGACAGCCTAAGTTGCCTTTAGCAATATGGCTTCTCAGTACATGATAGTGAGGGAGCTGTGACTGTGCGGCAGAAGCTCTTAGCTGTTTCCTGAATCAAGCTACATGAAACAAAGAGATGCAATAGCAAGAGTTACATATAGTCTCTTTTTTGTTTGATTTTTTTGCAAATTCAGCCAGGAGCTTTGCATACAATGTGCAATACACTATGGCCCAAATTCTTGTTGCTCAGCAAAGTAAATCACACTAGTGTAAGCCCATTGAAACAATGGAGATTTAGTGAGTCAACTCCTCTGTATGTTCCACTGATTCAAATAGGCCTATGCTAACTGTGATTTACTCTGCTACAGTAAGTCACAGTTAAAGTAAACCCATTTGGTTCAATGTGACTTACTGACTTACTAAGTCCCCACTGATTAACTGGGTCTACTCTAGTGCAATTTACTATGCTAAGCAACAAGATGTTGGCCTCTGAAGAACAATTCCTTTAAAAAATGGCTATAGTTTATTTTGCATTACTTTTGACATATTTTAGATAGCCCTTGCATTGTGCTTGAGCTTTCTGTCTAAAGGCATCACAATTTAACAAAGGGTTTTCAGCTCGGAAAACCCAAAATAAATAAACAAGAATCCCTCAGGGAGGCCATACTAAATATTATAAATACTGTATGTATAGCATTGTTACATTCAAAGTAACACAAGGGGAACTGTAGATTTTATTTTTCTTTATCCTGAATGCATTGCTAGAACATTCAGTTTTGATTTTTCACCTTTCAGCCTGCCATGAGCATCTTGTGTAATTACTCCTAATTTTTAGCCATCCGGTCACCTTAGTACCATGCTGTTGCCTGCTAACACAGTTAATAATAATAATGCACCATTGAGTTGATTCAAAGTTATGGTGACCCTTTCCAGGATTTTCTAGGTATACAGTACTCAGAACTGGTTTACTCTTCCCTTCTTCTGGGTGCATTCTGGGGCTGTGCAGCTTCCCCAAGGCTAAAGAGGTTGGCTCTCCTCCAGGAACACTCAGTAGGAAATCAAACTTCCAACCACTAGCTCCTCAACTATGTGTCCATTCCTTCAAACCCCTACACTATATGTTAAAATATAGGAAAGCCTATTTCCAAATTTACCTGTTTCTGCAATTCAGCAAAAAAATTTAAGAAACAGAATCAGCTCCCCCTCCCACACATGCCAATACCACCCAGCCAATCAGTTCTGGGATCACTGGCCCAACTCCCTAAAATCTGCTGCTTAGTCAGAAATATGGCACAGCCAGTGGTTCTTGGCATGAAGGATCAGGACATTTTGATTAGCATGGGTGATAATACCATATCTTTTCCAGCTCCAAACAAACTTTTTCCCTTTGAGCTTCATGGTAGCCAAGGTTTTTCCAATAATGGTTTTTTCCCCAAAAAATAATATATATATATTTTCCCTATCCATGATGTAATGCTATGTATTTCAGAGTGGTGGTGTCTTGGTCTTCAATGAGATTTTAAGACCCATCAGCCTTACAAATTCCTGCTACTCTTGGACCTGAAAACACAATAGCTTTTCTGACACTAAGACAAAATATGTATTTGTGAAGCAGAGAAAAGAGATTATTGGAAAAGGCGAAGTTGGTAATTTAATGCCATTTGTGCCCCTTCTTTCCTTTTCTCATGCAATCATAGGTCTCTTCAACTAAATTCCAATATAATAACCACTACCTTGCCCCTTGATATTATAAACCATGGTGGATCAACTAAGAGCATTATTTGTCTAGGTTGCGTTTGTTTGCAAAACCAGCCACCACCACCCATTTACGCATCCAGGTTTTTTTCTGCCCCACTTTGAGGTAAGATGTCTTACGAGATGCTAGATTAAATAAGTGCTTACATTTTCATTAAAACTATTAAAAATATCACTGAATCTTATACAGAAGCTGAAACCTCTGTTGTTCACGAATCACCTCCAAAGCAATTACATTTATTGTCACACTGGATTAGATCATATCTCAAAATGAGCACGCACTTATCCTTCATAGGGTACTCACTGACTTAACTTCTCTTCAGTTTCACCTCAGAAAGCATTTTAACATTTTACCTGACACATGAATTCCACTGGATTTGCTGCAGAAGTCAGCAAGTTGCTAATTTCTTCCATAGTAGTGTAATAGGTGATGTTTGTTTCAGCTATCATTAAATCACCAGAAAACAATCGCACACATATAATTCCAGGAGATAAATCTGGAATATAAAATAAGGATTAATCAGTAGACAATGACTAGAAGAAAACGCAGTACTGCAGAAGAAGCAACGAGGGCGGGGGGGAATCCATTTGTTTGTGAATGTCTGTACGGTACAATAGTTTTTTAAACTGAACCACAGTTTGGCCTTCAGAGTCTGTTGGCCTGTAGCTCCTCACACCATTGGGTAAGCTGGCTATTGCTGATGGGAGTTTCCTCAAAACAACCTTTGTAAGATCAAGCTTTGCCTGTCTTAAGCTTAACAGTATTTGGTCCTATTTGTAGATGTGTAATTGACATATTGAGATTACCTGTACTGTATTTTTTTATGTTAAGCAGTTCCAGGAAGATTTGCCATTTCAACTCAATTCACCAATCTCTGTTTGCTTGCTTGCTTGCTTGCTTGCTTGCTCGCTTGCTTGCTTGCTTGCTTGTTTGTTTATATTTTTATTTATATCCTGCCCATCTGGTCTATATGACCACTCTAGGCATATAGACTAGATGGTCTATACAAGGTAGCCACATTGGGTTGCTTGCTTTTTAATTTACAGGGTCAGCACATGTAGCAACTACACCTATCCTTCCTGTGATTTTAATAAAATAAAAATATCTGAAATCCTGTTGTGCAGCTTGGCATGCACAGTGGTGATGACATTAGCAACAGGAGCAAATTGCAGCTGATTAAAGGTGATTTCTGCATGCCCACAACATGTACACAATGCAATGGAGTCCCATAGACCCCAAAATTTCCAGAGGGAGACTTTAATCAGTTTTTAGTGGCCCCTTCTGCTGATGTTCTTGGCATTGTGCACGTGGATCTGCACAATGAGATTTTAGTGATTTCAGCCAGTGAAGAACAAAATGGTAAATAAGACTGGGAGAGAAGGATTCTAAATGGAATGGGTGGATCTGTATAAATCAGAGTTATGCCCAATACAGTGGGGTCTTGACTTGAGAACTTAATCCGTATTGGAAGGTGGTTCTCAAGTCAAAAAGTCTGTAAGTCAAGTCTCCATTGATCTACAGTGCATTGAAAACCGATTAATCCCGTAACAGGCCATTTTTGTTCCATTTTGGGGGGGTTTTTTTGGTCTGTAAGTCAAATCTCAGTCTGCAAGTCAAACCTAAATTTTGCGGCCAGAGAAGTCTGTAACTCAAAAAGTCTGTAAGTCAAGCCGTCTGTAAGTCAAGGGTCCACTGTAGCTGATAGTTCTGGTCAATACTGTATTGTCTCTTAATCTAGACAACCTATTTAAATTCCTTCCACTAACTGTATCACCAGGTTCCACCTTTCGTGGCAGCGCACCTACGGAATAAACTGTACAGGAAGAACAATGAGAGGAAAATTAATTAATAGAGCCTCAGAGACTGGTTTGGAAGTGACACAAAAATATTTTTATAGCTACCAACTCCAAGTCAGAAGAGGTAGGATGACTCCTAGCCTCTGGTAAGAAAAGAAGAGGAAGTGAATAGTGTAACATTGTTTCTGCGCTAAATTAAACTGAACTGAATACCTGTGCAAGTAAGTAACAATGTCAATACACCTCGTATTAATCTTGTTTCTGTGGAACACAGCTATGTGGTGGGCTTCCAGCACAGAGGAGCTTGAAATAGTGGTCTATATAATATTTGCCTTAAGCTTGCCATCATGAATAAACAACCCTCATCTGCAAGCTCAGGAGATCACCAAGTGTCTATTGTCCATCCTTCCTTTTCCTGGGTCTCTGTGACGGGAGATCTGCTTTCTTATATTTGAAAATGGATGCTGCATACACAGGGGTCAGTTTTGTTTGTTCACTTTTATCCTCCTTGAGGCATGAGGTGAAGGATAAATGAGAGTACATTTCTACAAATGAATGTCAGGATATCATGTGACCAAAATCAAACAGTTTTTGATTGCTGTTTTTAGAAACTGTGATGACACTTTATGTATTACAAGAAAAGTCCCCATCACACATGTATAAAAGTACAGCAGGAAGAAAAGAAACAAAATTGTGGAGTACTGTATGTATATTTTAAAACATCCAAAATAAGAAATAATTAGAAAAATATTCAGAGATTTTATTCAGTGTTTCCAGCTTTCTTTAATCATAATTACAACAGATTGTGAGAGGTTTAGTGCTTTATTCAGAACTTGTGACATAAATGTGATAATCACTCAGTGGGGAACTCTACTTTGATCTAGATGGGTGGGGTAGAAATCTAATAAAATAAAATAAAAATTTAAAAGGATTTATTAATGGTCTGTTTTGACAAATTACTAAAGATGCAATTATACCACTGGAAAAATCCACATGGATCCACTGTGAATCTGCATCTAGGAAGCTGGGTATCCCCAGCTGAATTTGCTTTAGCTGACCAGACAGGACTCGGCAGGGAGAGTAGAAGAAATTTCTGATCAACTCTTGATTGAAACTTTTTAAGGCAGCTTCTGCTGTAGCCATCCAGATTTGGAGGAGGTATAACTATAGCAGAGATACCTTAACAAGTGCCCAAAAGGGGCTGATTGTCAGTTTCCTCTTCTGTTTCTTTCACTTTCGTTTGTTTTTTTATATATATATATATACTAAGTGCTGTAATACAGCTTTGTTCCAGTGCTGGCACCTAGCCTTTTTTAATAAACAAAAATTAAAATCACATCCCTGCTTTGCAAAGGCTCAGACTGCAAAACAGAAATCTACCTCCTCTATTTTCTCTGTGATGGGGAAGAGGGAAATAGGACAGAAATATGAGGCAACTGGAGATAAGAAATTGTAAAAGCGTATTCTAAGTGCTGTAATACAGCTTTGTTCCAGTGCTGGCACCTAGCCTTTTTTAATAAACAAAAATTAAAATCACATCCCTGCTTTGCAAAGGCTCAGACTGCAAAACAGAAATCTACCTCCTCTATTTTCTCTGTGATGGGGAAGAGGGAAATAGGACAGAAATATGAGGCAACTGGAGATAAGAAATTGTAAAAGCCAAAAGGCTGAGACATTGAATTGGGAAACAAGGACTTTTCTACATAGACACATGCAATAACACCTTCTGAAATGATGCAAATGCATTTGCATGGGGGGGGGGAGAGAAGCCACAGTGGCAAAGGAAAAGAGTACAGTTTGGGGTGGAAAACTCCAGGCTGATTTGCTTGTATGTTGTGTAGTTAACAGAAAACACTAAAGGTTTAACTGTCCCAATTCTGGAGCAATTCTCATATTATTTGTCAATGCACTTATACCTTTAAATAGGAGTCTGCTGCAGTTTTATGGTGACAAACCATACTACCAAGATCTGCATAAAACTAAACCAGGCGCACACCACATGAATACAAGGGATTGCCTCGGTATATTTAGTGAGACAAAATCCTGTACAAAAAGATTGTTTTCATCTAGGATTTGTGAATTAAATCTTCATACACATACTTTATAGACCATAATTTGAATAAAAATCAATGTGATCGAACAGAAACATAACATTTTATTTTAAGACACACACACCTTCATATACAAAATAAAAGTTCCCATACTGCTTTGTGGGAAACTTTTAGCGGAGAGCAGGGGAAACAGGAAGTACAAATGAACTTCTGCTTCCTGTGGCGGGTGCTCTCTCCACATCTGGAGCTTATGTATCTACCCACGAGACCCACTTCATACTTTATTTAGAAGTGCAAAAACAGGAAACATCATTTAATCAGACTGTTTTAGCTCTATACGTTCTACCCCTCATCTATTTGAGGCCTCATATCAATAACTTAGTTTCTTTTTTGGAGCTGTGGTATGAGGAAGTAGGTGTTTCTGCTTATATGTTGGCTAGTACCAATTAAGATGACTGAGATGAGAAACAATTCTACTAATCAAATACACAATTTTTACAAAACTAACAAATAAAAAAAACCCTTAATACATACACACACAAAGTGACTCACTCTACCAGGACCCTTTGAAGACATGCTGCATTTATTTCATTTATGATGCCCCATTCCCCTTCCAATACTGCACTGATTCTTTTGAAGGTACATGGCCCTTCCCTTTAATTAATACATAATCAATAAAAGCTCTCTAAATATCTCTTATTAAACTTTCTGTTACATAAGGAAAGAAATGAACTGATGGTATATGGTTCTGAACTTTAGAGATATGGATAAGACATATAATTAATGGAGACTTCCTGAACATGTACTACGTAATTCTCATGTAGTGAACACTGACTTTGAGGTATCTACTTCAGACAAGTGAATGAACAACTGTAAGATTGAGTAAACAATTACAGGAAGTTCCAAAATATCAATAGAGTAATTTGGAAAAAATTGTAAAATCAGTTTGCTTCCCCTGAACCCCTTTTCTGTATCCCTTGCATTAGAAACTTCATAAAATCTTTAAAACAGAAAAAGCTCCCCAAATATTACTAAAGGTATTTTTGTTTGTCAGACTCTTTTAAAACTTAAAATATCATGTTAGCTTATCATTAATAGCAATATTTCATACTTTACACCATTCATTTAATTGAAATTCATGATTTAATTTCCAGTTCTTAAATATAATTAATCTTGCTGCATATACAAAGTTTGTTACCAATTTCATTGTTCCTTATGAAATGTTGAAAACAGTGCTATTCTGAGGGTAAATTCTACATTTAACTCCAATATTTCATTAATTTCTTCAAAAACTAACTCCCCAAATTTCATTATATTTTTGCATTCTCATTGCATTTGAAAGTAAGTATCTACATAAGTATCATATCTCAAACATAAATTTGAAAATTTACTACCCATACCATTCAATCTTACCTTTGAAAATACCATTTACAAACTTGTTGATAATAATTTTCTTTTATTTTTACTGACATACAGTTTAATAACCTTTTATCCCTAACATTTCCCATACTTCGGTACTTATTTTCTCTTTCCAAATCCATTTCCTATGATGCCTTAAGAGCACCATATTGGTTTCCCACTTCTATTAACGTCTTATCAAGACTTATAATCTTGTTTTTCTCTTAATAAAACCATCTCTCAAATTTCATAAGATTTCTACATTTCCCATTTTTTCCACTCATTTTTAGTACACTGGTCAAGTTGGATCAAATTAAACAATTTCCCCCTTCCAATACTACTCTTAATTCCTCTTTATCTTTCATCTTCTCTAGCCAATCTTTTAATTTGCTAACTTTCCTCCCCACTTTTTTATTTCTGCTACATAGATGGATTTTAATAAAGTGATGTTACTTTTGGTACCTACCAGGTGTGCAAACTGAGACTGTATATTCATTCTCCATCCTGGCTGGTACTCGCATTGACTGAGACCTCTCAGGACAAAATTCTACTTCCAATTTTACTTGGCTATCCAACTTACATTTTAAGATGAAGTAAACCATTGTTTGCACCTAGAAAGAGAACATCACATTTTGAACACCAAATAATATTGAAAGGCTTGTATTCTACACAGAATGTGCTTGAAGTGCCGTGCAGTGTTAGAAGCACAAAATGTAGAAATGTTATAATAAATGATAGAACAGTAACATCAATCTATGAATTCAACACCTAGCCTATCACTCTGTGTGTGTGTGTGTGTGTGTGTGTGTGTGCGCACGCGCGGGCGCGCGCGCGCGCACCTCAATATCAAGGAGTGGAGAAGAAAAATACATTAAAGATAACCTGAAATTAGATCCAAAAATGCTAATTTATCCATTAATATTGTGGAGAGGTGACTAAGGAAGCAATCTCTTCCATGAATCTAGGAATTGGTCCAGCCCTGCCAGAGCAAGATAGTGAGTGAGCAATAGAGGGAGGGAGGGAGGGAGGGGAAAACATAGATAATTGTAGCCCCAGCCAAATGTTGTGTATATGTTCTTCAAGGGATTTGGGGTTGGAATTATTTCATTTCAAATTACTGTCACCTGCTGCTCACAGTTTTCAAGCCTTTTCCTACCACCCTCTCTTTACTTAATTCTCATTCTCTAGTTCAGTCTTTGGAATAAACAAACAAACAATAAAAACTAAATTAAAAATCCCAAATAGAGACAAACCTCCACATGAATATATCCTTGTGGTCACATTATTCTAATTGTTTAAAAAACCTCTGCTTTTTTTGCCTCATAGGTCAAGGTGGTTGGCTCCTTTTCCACAGACCATTAAATCAAGTTAGGCTCCAAAACTCTTTAGAGGATTTTCCATCAGATTTTAGCAGTTCCACTGCCAGTGGTCATACTAGGTGCAACTGTTGGCATAACTCCTCATAAGGTGGTTATTCCAAAAATTCTTAGGCTCAGACCCAGTTATTTGCACAGAACCTGAAGCAGATAAAGCAACCATAGCACTGTCAGAATGGCCACGTTATGTGGAAGTGGACTGGCTAAAGTATGTTGCTATGTGTCACCAAATTGCTTCCCATATATGGCAAGCTTAATAGGATTTTCAGGTTACATGAAATGTTCAAGAAGTAGTTTACCATTGCCACCCCCCATGAATTTCTTCGGTGGAGCATGGATTTGAACTCAGGGTGTCTGGATTCAGATTCAACACTCTATTGATTGCACCACACTAGCTCCTGATTAAAGCACAGGACATTCTTAAATAGAGAGCACACAGATTCCTTTTATCTTATTCTTTTGCAACATTAGCAACAATTGAGAGTACTTTCTTGACTGCACTGTATTCCATATTTAAATGGCAAGAATTAAGGGAGCTGTTCCCAGCCCCCTTTCCCTCCAAATAATTGCAGGACTCACTTCCCTTTTTTCAGCCAAAGTCTGACACTCAAAATCCTGTGGAATAATTCTTAACACTTAAATGTTTAGGATGGCTTGTAACTTCTAGAGGTTACATGAATCATGTTATTTTATCTTCTGTAGCAAATATAATTTTAAATTTAGTATCCGGATACTATTTAATCTGCCTTGATCCATTCCAGTCTGGATTCACTGTAAGGTAGTCTGTAGTGTAATGGACTGCGATTCAGGAGGCCTGGGTTCAAATCCTCAAATAGCCATGGAAACACATTGGGGGGCACTGGAAAATTACTCCTTAAATATAATACCCTACAAATTAATAGTTTCCAAAAGGTCCAGTCATTAACAGCCTTGCACAAGTCTTGTAGGTGGAGGGTCGTGGCCTTCCTTTCTTGCAGTCACCCATCTCTTCCTGCTATCCTGTTAGGTATCACAAATAATTTTTGACTTACGGTAAATATGAATTAAAGATGTCCAAGACTTGGACATCACTGAATGGATTTACTCACTTTTAAGTGAAGCTGCAGTTACTTATGGTAGCACTTTTATCCAATCCAGCAATACAACTCCCAGTTGCTAATACCTTCTGAAAACAGTGCTTGGTGCTCCTATTGCCACCTAACAGTGAGATATACTGCCAGCTCCACAATGGGTTTCCCCTCCTCTCTGCATTACACATAGTTGTAGATATGTGCCATGTGATCTGGTCCTGTTATAAACATGGACACATGTATGTATAAGAAACCCCTGGGGACAACAGCAAGGAATGGCAGGGAGGACAAGAATCATTTTTCTTTTCCAGTCACAATGACACAGGATTGTAATTTGTATTAGCAGTGGAGCCATAGGCCGGGAGCATGGATCATCCTGGCAGTATTAAGCTGCTTTCACAGCACAGCATCCCTCCCTTCATTCTGCCCTCTCATAGAAACTGGGGAGGAACAGAGACATACTGTACCCCACAGCATATGCGATCTGGCTGCAGTGCAATTAGGTTTTCCAGTCTGTTCCCGTCCTGCTGGGTCATTGTAATATCACAAGAACCATGTGAGTTTCTGTCATCGTCCACCTTGGCAGTCACTGAATCACAAGCAGAATCTAGACAAAGCAAAAATAGTAATGTTATCTCCAAAAGCAGTTCAGCTCTGGTCAAATGCTTAACTAAGGAAGTCCTTTAAAAGGAAGTTGAACTGCACATGTGTTTGAAACTGAATGAGCTAAGTACTCAGAAGTGATAGGCAATCTGTGCAAGTAAGAGGCATATTACATTAGTAATGAATTGGGAGGGACGAGAGAATCAGTTCCCCAGAAAAGGGGAAACATATGTTGTCAGAATAAACAACCATTCAGAGGCCATGGTTGGCAGTCGTAGTCCAAGGAAGCAACTTTTCCCATCCCTCCTGTCTCTCTGAGACAATCAGTTCAAATGCTTCTGCTTACAAGTAGTAAGCACCAGAAAAGGGGAAATGTATGTTGTCAGAATAAACAAGCATTCAGAGGCCATGGTTGGCAGAGTACGCAGGGAGTCGTAGTCCAAGAAAGCAACTTTTCCCATCCCTCCTGTCTCTCTTGCATGTATGGATATACACCTCCACCTCCACCCTTCACCCCACTGTGCAATGCATCACACAACTACATGACTTCTTTTGCCCACTGATGAACTTTTCCTTCCCATCAGCAGCCAGAGGTAGGCTCCACGTCATGACCTAAATAAGCCACATCTCATCATCACAACACTAAGTGGGGAGAATGGAGCTCCCTCCAAGTCATGTGCAGGAAGGGGAGTTTGTGCTGCCACAATCACCATTCCTGCCACTGCCCCCCTCCCCGTTAGGGAATGTGTGTGGTCAAAGGTGTTCATGGATCACAGACTCTTGTTTTTCTCTTGCAGCAACCCTCACAGGAGGGCAAGTAAAACTGTGTTATTCCCCACCGGCTGTGGCTAACCAGTTAACTCTTGCCCCATCCTTGACAGCACTGCCTAAATACCCATATCCATTTGTATCTCACAGGATAGTAAATGATGGAGGCCACCCCATCTTGCTTCACACAGTCACCAAAAAAGAGGACAGAAAAACATCAAAATTGCATATGCTAAATATATAAGTAAAGGTGCAAAATTAGAAATTCTTTTTATAACTTAAAGAATGAGAATTACTGATGGGAATTCTTATTTAAGAGTAATGTGATTCTCAGCTGATTCTTTTTCTTTTTCTGGTCATTTGAACATACTAGCAGATAACCCATCTTGCCCTCTCTTCTGAGAACGTCTCCCTCAAACCTCTGTCTCTTAGTCACCTTAAAGTCAAATCTATGTGCTTGCCATGTGTGCAAAAGAATTTTAAAATAACTCTAAGCACTGCAGGGCAGACACCTTATTGTACTTAATTCCAGAGAAAAGCCATTTAGGTGTTGAATGGCACCAGTTCAGTCCCTCGAATAAGAGTGAACAGATAATAAAATGTATTTAAATCAGCAGAAAGGAAAACCATACAGTATGTGAAAACCATTTGATTACACCTCCCCCCACCAGTCATAGCATAGCAGGGGCAGAGGAAGAGTTGTATTGCTGGTCCTGCCAACACTTACAAAACCATATTGAGGACTTTATTCCAAATTATCATGGAACAAAATATATCTCTAAGCTGTGTAACAACCTCTGGGGGGCTTTGTTTCCCATCTAGCAGCTAGAAGTGGCTCTGACTCTGTGGTTCTCCACTGTCATAACATAGCATCCATTGCCATTTCACAATAGTACCCCATCCCAACAAAAAGGAGGTCATGCATGCTTCACCAGCGGCAGCAATCCTAAATAAAGGAGTATGACATTACTCATTGTTTTTTTGTTTAGTGTTTGCATGCTTGTGCTTTAGTGCAAACCAATATGAGAAGGGAAAAATAATATTACATATAAAGCAAAGAACAGCTTAATAGTGAAAGGGATTGCATTGCAAATTAATGCATCCTAACAAAGATGCAAGGAGTTGGTGCAGCTTAAAATCCTGATCTACTGCGGGGTGGTGGCGGCGGTTACCTCCCTATAGCAGTCCTCTACACCTCCATGATACTCACTAGGATACACAATGCATATTATATACCTTGAGATGTAAAACCAGTCAGGGCTCAATATAACAGATCCTTGCAGATGATCCTTAATAATAAGGTATTCAAGCTGAAATATTTCACCATCCAAGCTCACAGATGCTCAGAAAGTGTTTTTGCCCTTCCCAGAAAGCTCTTTGGATATTTTCCTCTGACTTTACAAGAATATTTATTCAATTTTTATTATAATAGTTTTATTGCAATAGTTCCTACTTTCACTGTAGTGTTTCAGCTTATTATATTTTTAGTTTTGTGGTATTGCTGATGTCATAATAATGTTATCACCATTTCTGAGAACTACATATGCTGATGTTTCCTTTCAGCTGGTACATCCCGAGAACTGAGACAGGGGATACCTCACTCAAACTTTTGGGAGGAGGTACCCTCTGTGCTCTAAGCATGAGCTGCACATACTTCAAGACATCATAAATCCAAAAAAATAAAAAAATAAAAAAAAGATGTGGCAAACATTGTGGGAGAAAATTCACTCTTTGTAAAATTGTGCAATTTGCCCCTTTTACTAGAAAGATCACTTGCCTTCATTTACTTATATCTATATTGGTTTTAGGGAGCTGCTTTCCATTTACCTCGCTCCCCCTTCTAAATTATATTGTGCATTTAAAAAAATATAGTACACTGACAAAGCATAAATAATAGCCAGTCAAATTAAACAAGGAGTAGCTGGAAACACTGGTGCAGGTTATTACTGTTTGATCAAAATATTTGGCAAACATGGAGTTAATTGCCTCTGAGCTTCACATTGATTCCTCTTATTATGATCAATGTCAGAAAGCATTTTTTTCCAGAATTGTAACATTTTTGCAGGTGTCCTATCTTGAGAAAATTCATTGCTTGCAAATGTTGTGGGTGCTTTGTACTGTCAAGTTGCAGCTGACTTATGGTGACCATATGAATAAGTGACCTCCAAAATGTCCCAGCATCAAAAGTCTTGCTTAGCAATTTCAAACTTGAGCCTGTGGGTTTCTATATGGAGTCAAACTATCTCATGTTTGGTCTTTCTCTTTTCTTGCTGCCTCCAACTTTTCCTAGAGTTATTGGATTTATCCAGCAAGGCTTGTCTTCTAATGATATGCTGAAAGTACAACTGCCTATGTTTTGCCATTTTTGCTTCCAGAGAAAGTTTAGGGTTGGTTTGACTTAGTACTCCATTGTTTATCTTTCTAGTACTTTGAGGTATCCACAATAGTTAGAAAGCTAGAAAGAATTAAATAATCTTTTTCTTGCCAGCATTATTTAGTGTCTAGCTTTCACATTCATACATAATAATTGGAAGTACAATAGTGTTGATGATCTTGGCCTTGATCTCCAGTAATACATCTTTATACTTGAAAGAAGACTGACCTCTGAAGAGCTGATGCTTTTGAATTGTGGTGCTGGAGGAGACTCTTAAGAGTCCCCTGGACTGCAAGGAGAACAAACCTATCCATTCTGAAGGAAATCAACCCTGAGTGCTCCCTGGAAGGACAGATCCTGAAGCTGAGGCTCCAGTACTTTGGCCATCTCATGAGAAGAGAAGACTCCCTGGAAAGGACCCTGATGTTGGGAAAGAGTGAAGGGAAGAGGAGAAGGGGACAACAGAGGATGAGATGGCTGGATAGTGTCATCGAAGCGACCAACATGAATTTGACCCAACTCCAGGAGGCAGTGGAAGACAGGAGGGCCTGGCGTGCTCTGGTCCATGGGGTCACGAAGAGTCCGACACAACTTAACAACTAAACAACAACAACAGTATTTGATTATCTTCTATAATTATTCCATATCTTCTCTCCCATGTCTCATTCTTCTTTTGATTTCTTGGCTGCATTCTAGATTTGGTTTAGTGATTGAACAGAGATGTTCAAAATCTTTAACAAATTCAGCTTTGTTTTGTTCTTTTTTAAAAATTGTTATTTACATGCCATTTTCACTCTGCTAGGGATTCAAGGCAGCTTACAGTCAATTAAAATCATGCAGTTGTTACAAAGTCCTCCACTACTGCTTAAAAGCCTGTCTTTAAGAGAAGTCTTTGCCTGACAATGGAAGGGCAAGAGGGTGGGGGTCAGCCTTGGGGCAATATATTCCAAAGCCTGGGAGCAGCCACTGAGGAGGCCCTCTCTTGCATCCCCACCAAACAAGTTGTGAGGGTGGTGGGACTGAAAGACAGGCTTCCCCAGAATATTTTAAAAGTGTAGGAGACTCATATACTGTAATATGATCTTTCAGATAGCTTGGAACCAAGGATATAGAGCTTTATAGGTCATAACCCAACTTTGAATTAGGTCTAGAAACAGACTAGTAGCCAGTGAAGCTGCTGGAAGAGGTGAGCTATATAGCTCCAGAAACCAGTGCTAGCCAGCAACCTGGCTGATGCATTTTGAATCAGCTGAAGTTCCTGAACACTCTTCAAAGGCAGCCCCACATAGAGCTCATTGCAGTAATCCAGACAGAAAATAACTAGTGGGTTAAAAGTTGCCCCTGAAAATGAAGCCACCAGTTACAGGATCTGTCCAGCCCAGATACTCAAATGTTCCTAAATTCCATGGGTTATCTCTCTACAAAGATACAATCATGAGAATTATAGCATGTGCAGCCCCATTTCCCTCAGTGGAACTTAATTACTCCATTTATATAACAACCACCACCACCACCACCACCACCTTAGAACTGCAGAGCTGGAAGGAACCTATCAGCGATGGTGAACCTATGGCACGCGTGCCACAGCAGGCACACAGAGCCCTCTCTGTGGGCACGCAAGCCATAAGTTGCCCGATCAGCCAAACCTGAGGAGACAGCTGCAGCTGCGGTGCTAGTGCCCCAACAGGCGGCGGGCCAGGATCTGGAGCAGCTGGCGCTAGCGGGGTTGGGCATGACTGGAGGCGGATCTGGAGTGGGGTCTGGAGGCACCTCCATGCCTAGGATCTCCCTTTGCACCGCCACTTTTGCTTCTGCTGCCACCCACCGGGTTTCCGATCAGCCAAACCTGAGGAGACAGCTGC